GTAATTTCTTTTTTAGTAATGAAGTTAGGTTGGGTGTCTTGCGGGTTTTGGCCTATGTCAGCAGTTTTTAAGTTTTATTATTATGAAGCACGATTTACATAACAGCGGAAAAATTTGTACAACTATGCAATACCTCGACGTGCTCTGATGCCCTGTCCCTCAGTATGTAACGAGGATACTAAAGTGGTGAATGTTTAAAATACCCCACAATGTTTCTCCCACTGACAACAGCGTCACTTCTGCTTCGTTGTGACAGCAGCCCCTCATCACCCCGTGCATCACAAGCTGTATTCAGTACGCAAAACTGCCCACGCTATTAACTCCCAAATCATTCACTGTTTTTTCGTATTATGCGCTCTATTTCGCACAGTCCCGTGAGCTATTCCCACCTCTTAAAAGTTTGTCTTTACAAAGACTGCAAATCGATGTGCTACTAGTTGCTGTTAAAGTGTAAAATACCCCCAGATCCTCACCTTCTGATTTTTTTTTTTCGCTCCTCATACTGCAAAGTGTATGCGCATGACGTCACCGCAGGCGGAAGTCACTCGGAAGTGCTCACACCCACCGAGTAGCAAAAGAAACCGCGTGGCAGCGTTAGTGTTCAGTTTGAATGCCGCAAAAACACGTCTAAAATGGAAAGAGCTGTTGTGTGATTGATTGTTCAAACGGATTTAACATGAAATGAAAGCTGTCTTTTTAGGGATTGCCAAAAACTCAATGAGTAAGTACCGGACGTAGATCGGTCACACATGATCCGTCGAAAAAGTCTGGATCGGCGCCGATACTGATCCGAATATCGCTCTCACTGTGGTTCCGACTATACATGCTACTTCACACCTGTCCGAACTAGCAGTACACATAGGGGCATGATGCGGTGAATCACACATGCAGCCTTTTATCCCAGACTAGTAGGCTGCTGCTTCCAGCTCAACCTATAACCATTCAATCATATGCTTCCCGTGAGACAGTATCAATGAAAAATTCTGTTTAGCACAGTTGACACAGAATTGAAAAGGTACAGCATCATCTACAACTCACTGGACATCACAGACCTACTCTCACACCTATGAAGTCGACTACATCACATTACCCATGTATCAAGGCAAGAGCACTGTACTGCTCAATGTTGACTAATCTTTTTGGTTTTACGCTGTCCCGGCTCACAATACTACATCTACTCATAGAATATGTGTTCGTGTGAGGGAATATATTCCCTACTGGGGGCTGTTTGAATGCTTTAAAACTGACTCTCATCGAGGAATCCACTTCACTGCTAGGTGGCATGGAGGGTAGGGATTTCGAAGGATATCGCGGTATCCTTATGACAAAATTTGCTTTTTTTTTTTTTTTGTTGACCTTTACTTTGTGAAACTCAGTGCTGCCACCTGCTGGAAACACCTAGTCAATTTTCTTGCACATGCATAGTGGACATGCATGACTTCAGCCACACATAACTGTCCAGTACAAACCCGCCATTGCTCCTGGTGAGTGATTCTTTGTTGGGGAATGACAGGAGTCTTTAGGTATCCTCTTGTGAGCTAATCATAAAGCCCTTGACCACCCAGTTCAGGTATGCAGGCAATTAGAATTACAAGGTAAAATGTCCTTTTATTAACATTGCCGATTCCCCTTGATAAATCCACACTCTGGGGAAAAAAACAAAACACGTGAGTTTCTCATTAGAAACAAAGTGAATAGAAAGAAACTCATCCAGGCACTTTGCAGAACCTGTTGCATGCCTGAAATCACAGGTCTGGATGAATGAGTTTAATGGAAGTTGATTGAATTGGGTTTATGATATTATCTATTGCTTCTTTCAACCTTGATGCTAAAACTTTACTAAGGAGCTTGTAATCTGTATTTAGTAATGTGAACAGTCTTAGATTATCTAATATTCTTTTATCTTTATTGGCACTCGTCCCACATATTACTCCTTGTACTCCATGTAAATTCATGTATTGAAAAATCAAATCAGCGGTGTTCCATTTTGAACCAATATGGGATGCAATTTGTCTTGTATTGCTGGACTGCACACTCAACCACCCCCGCCCCAGCAAATTTTATTGTTCACAAAGGTGGGGGCTGGTTTCCCTTATTTCTTAAAATCAAAATTGTCAACCCTAATGAAGATTAATTGTTTGATCGATAAAGATGCATGTTTCCAGCCAGCCGATCAAAATGACATGAACCATGAAAGAACCCTGATATTCTGAAAATGCTGATTGATTTGAATTAATTCTTAGGTTGACAGGACACAACGAGAGTGAGAACTATAGATGTGCTTTCCCACTATGATGATAAAGTCACTGTTTGTGTTGCATTCACATAAAAAATTACTTGATGTGTAAATATGTGAATGGTAACTAAATGTCCATTCTCACTGGGCTAAGCCTGTGTGCCTGTAATCAGAAGGTCGCCAGTTCGAACCCAGCCTCAGCACATCTGTGGGTCCTTGAGCAAGGCCCTTAACCCCCAGCTCCCTGGGCGCTGCTACAGGTGGCTGCCCTTCGCGGACAACTTACTCTACAAAGAGCAAGATGGGGGAGGCGTAAAGAGAATTTCCCCATGGGGATCAATAAAGTATCAATTATTATTAAAAATATAGAAGAATAAGAATGGAAGACATGTATTATTATAAAGATAAAGGTTCAGAAATGTATACATAAATGAGATATTACTATGTGCAGTATTAAGGGTTACATGATGATATTACAGAAGCTTTAAGTACAAGGCAGGACCCAAATATAGAAAATGGATGGATAGATGATCATAAACCCTAATTTCCACCATAGTATTGGTTGAAACATTGTTTGGACAAGCGGTAGGACAAGCAGAAAGACCAAGATGGAAGAGGAGACATGTTATGCGTTATTACAAAGATTTCAGTGAATAAATGAAAACTACCATAAAACCTTTAGTATTTGCACACTTCACGCCAGCTTCTGGCTCAGACACTTTTTCTACAGGCAGGCACACAGAAAACCGAAATGTGAGCACAACTGAATTTGAGAGTTTGAAAATGTAAATTGCGCACTCAAGGCGTGCGCCACAACAATCACAAAAAAAGCAATCTACAGAATCCCATAAGGAGTGCATATCTGTCTTCATCTACCTTGTTAGGTAAACGGTTTAGCCAGTAAGTCATTACAGCCACTGCTAATGGTTTAGTTTGTAAGGAGTTTGCTCTGGTTAGCCATTTAACTTAAGACAGGTCACCTTTGACCATAATAAAACCCAGATTTACTGTGGATCTACCTACCCTGCAGAGCATAGGTGCAGCCCTAATTTAACAAACAAACAAATTTATTTTTGTATAGCGCATTAACACAACATTACATCGTCTCAAAGCGCTTTACAGCATCCCCACACAAAGCCCCCAGCGAGTAAGCCATAAGCTACAGTGGCCAGGAAAAACTCCCAAGAAGGAAGAAACCTTGGGAGGGACCAGACTCAAAGGGGGAGCCCATCCTCCAGTGGCCGGCAGGGAGACACATCTAATATGATTATCGCATCTAATATGATGCAGGGTACGAGTGTCATGATCTGATCTGGCCTGCCCTGTCCTATTCCTGTGAGGGCCAGCAGGTGGCGCTCCTTCCCCTAGTTAGTTAGTCAGGTATATTAATACCTCCTCATCCTGTGTACCCCAGTCCGGTCATTATCCCCTGTTTGTGCTGTCTGTTTCCTGTACTGTATTTGCTTGTATCCCAAATAAAGTTGCCCGCCGGGGGTGAAGTGCGAAGTGCTGGGTCACGTCTTCCTGTCCTCACCCGCCGACATAACGGGTCGATCTTCGGAAACAGGAATGAGCCGCCCTGATCTAGACAATCTTAGCCCCTCACCCGCAAACGGAAATACCACGATATACCCGAAATACCAAATATACCACAGTATGTATTGCCGTAATACCTCCCAAGCCTAGCCAGCATCCCCCACCTCTCGGTTCTCCCTCATCCGCCTAAAATATGCCTAAGGTGGGATGTCTGGAAATCAATGCAACTGTAGCGGACTTGATATTGTGGCGGCCGGTGCTTCGTGGCGCAGGGAATCTGATATTTAATTAACTGAATATTGACAAGTTAATTAGCAGAAGGGCAACATCCCTCTTACCCCCTACAGCGGTCCTGAGGTAACTGATTAAACATAAATTATATAATTGGATTATATAATTTCACTTGACTACTACAGTTGAACATAACTAGCACAATTAGACTAAATCTTATGGCAAACCCAACTTAGCAAATCATGTTAGTAACACACAATAGATTAAATGACAAAATATATCAAGCAAGAATAATGTTTTTCTAACTAAAGCTGTGATACCTGAAAATCGACAAGCTAATTAACAAAAGGCCAATGTCTCTCTCTCACCCACGGAAAAGGGAAACGAACGAAACTCCTTACTACTTGGATTAATGCCAAAACAATTAAGTAAAGTTAAAATTAAATTAACATATTTTGCTTACAAAAAGAAGAGTTTAACTTGAGCGAGCACATTTCCCACTTCAGTGGTCCCGAGGTGGCAAGATGCCAGACCCTGCGCCCCCAAAATGAACGTTCTCATCATCAGACGTGGCCATACAGTGGTAAACATGTAGTCATCATTTAACGTACAATAAACATATCATTAACCTGACAAAAAATCCAAAACTTGGTGAAGTTAAAAAAACTTCCTATTTAGTTTAACTACACAACCAGAAGCCGTTTCTGTAACATTTCCGCAGCATCCTGTACCGTTACAGAGCCATGCATATAGGCCTACATCGTACATCATGTTCATATATCGCATTATGTACGTTACATCGGCTGCTACACGGCCATTGCATGTTTGTCATACTAAATCGCGGTGGTATGACTGAAGGCGCGCACTTTTTAATCCGAGACAGAGCGGCCATGGGGTGGCGCTATATACCAGCTTGGCTGGGATTTCTGCCTTGGGTCCGTATTTAGACACACTGGAACACCCCTCTAAGCTGCTCCGATCCTCGCCCACCCATAAATAAAGCCGCCTTGTCACCCCTCCTCAATCTGCACCTTTCTGTATAGGACGAGGGCAGGACAGCATTGCTGCTGCTGTCAGTTTACTGGTACATGCTTGGACAAACTGGGACTTCACACTGTTGCTCTTTTTATTATGGGATATACATAAATTGCTTCACCTGTAAGTGAAACCTGTTTTACTATCATGAAAAGTAAGTTTTAGCCATTGCGGTTCGGTCTGGAAGAAAAGACTTCACTCTGAACCGGTGCAACCGGCTTCTTCATGAATTTGTTCCGATAAAGGCGATGGATTTGCAGAAGTTGGGCGAAGCGTCCTCGGCATTGCTGGGCTGCGTGGCGGTGCAGAGGAACTCATCGGGAAACGGCACGGAAAACGGGACCGCGGACGCCGCTGATGCCGCCAACTGTGGAAATGCGTCCGCTATTGTACGGCTGCAGCCAGGGAGACAAAGGGGTGAGATGAAATGTTTCTATGTAAGATGCCTTTATGATTGTTGTACTACTGCGTCTTTATGGATCTAACATACACACTCGTTGTTTAAGGTTAATTATCACATAAGCTCAGCTCGTAAGATCACAATACTGGGTTTATTATAGTGGAACATACTCAAGTAGGTATGATTGAGATAACATCCATCCATCCATCACCCTGTGAGTAATTTTTATGGTTCGCTGCCATGAACACTCCACTAAGGCAAGTTGCATTGCGCTTCCCACTTTCATTTGTGTTCCAGTCCCTTCCAGTTAATTGACCTGTATCGCACTGACAGTTTCAAACCCATTTCATCATGATGATTGAAGGAGATTCTAATGGGCCGCGTGAAAAATGTCCTTCATTTGCAGTCTGACGCCTAACGATTTGGTGAAAAAACACGTAATTAAATCGACATGATGAAGATAAGCTCTCCGAAGATCGTTAGGGGAGTGACGTGTCCACAAAGTCGGGGGTATCAGTTCTCAAAGGACGGTGCTTTTAAACCTTAAACGACGCGCATCCCAATCCTTTCCTACCATAGCCTTATGCTATTTTCCCTCGAACTGTCTCAGTGGCGACTTAATGATAATTTCTCCAAAAGGACTGCCGTTTTTGTAGCTACGAAAGAACTTAAGTCTATTGGTCGTTCCGACTTTCATCGCAATGAGCACTTATGGTGATGAATATAATCAGATAAATGGGAGCATTTCACCAGAAGAGATTATTATCAAAGAGCAACTGGTGAAATTCATCCTATTTTGTTGTACATATTTGTACAGGACTCTCTTCAAAGGGTATGCCTGGATTGTGTGAAATACATTACAGAAGCCATCTTTCTCTTCCAGGAAAACAATATATACCATCCAGGTCTTGCTATGCGGGTGCTGTTGCTTTTAAATGTTCATGCAGTGGTGAAAGTTATTGGCCATTCTGTGGACGTTTCTGTAAAGAAAAGCCAGACCAACGGAAACTTAAACGATTTTTGCCTTCGGAAGATGCTGAGTTTGAAGATGCTCACCCCCTAAAATTGAATTTTCTGGGAATACCTGGATGCAGTCTACATCATTCCCTCATTCCATATTTTACTCACAGAGAACTGAGACAATAAATATGTATGGGTACTCCAGCAGAACATGTACAATAATCAATGTGGTATCACCACAAATAAGCAAAATTTCTATAGAAACGTTTTAACCAAATACAACCAGCGAATTTTCTTTTTTTTTTGCGTGTGTAGAGATCCTGCAGTCGATGCTCTCAGCCATTGTGTGATGAACCCCCCCCGATGCCGACCCTGGTTCTCTGTATATCCACCCCACATCCACCTGTTTATCACCAGTTGATAAACAGACCGCCCTGCTCTTCTGGATCCCTTAGGTCATAGGTCAAGGGATCGTGTGCAAAGTGGTGTCCCTTTAGTGACAGACATCAGTAAAGGAGGGTGGGTGTGGGATGAGAGGACGACGTCCAGCATTATGAACCACCTGTTTTCTGTGGGTCTGATTGGAGGGAGACACTCAAGCGGAGTCATTTATCAGCTGAGGGTAATGATCATCATCATGGGATTAGCATAGAGATTTGCAGTCATACCTTCCCAATGGATAATCTTTGATTTATTTAGTCAGCAACAATATCAAGAGTGAGGATCATTGGTTATTAAAATCCAAACCCTTATTATTCATCCAGAGATTTAGTTTCAGCTTTATTTTTGCATTATTTCCCATGACTATATACAAACACAAAACTATGTAAGTTCCTTTCATCTATACTCTAAAAACAAACTTAGAAAACACCATAAAATGGTGAAACCATCTTGGTTTGTGTACAGGCTTGTTTGAAGCTTCCTTTGAGATGTGAGACATGAGCCCTAATTGGTCTGAAGGAAGCCAAACCAACAGCAATGAGAATTTCTGTACTTAGAGAAATACAAGGAACTTCTCTAATGAGGTCACGGTGTGGATGCTGAATAAACGAATACATCTAAAAGAATTCGTCTGGGATTTTTTTCTCATTTAGGTCAGCAAGTTAGACTCTTTTTCCATCATTTCTGGCCTTTTTAGTTGGTTGCGCCATTCGACCCCAGTTGGGACTCTTCTTTCACTAGAGGCCTTGTAATCACTAAGCTGTTAAATGTGTAAAACACGCCTGCAGACAATTCACCTCAAGAAAAGAGTGGATCGCAGTTCGGTTCCAGCCTTGAAATGCTACTTCAATCCTATGTAAGCTATCAGTAAAGAAGATACAGTGAATCACACAGCCTGTTATCCCAGACCAGGACGGTAGCTTCGAGTTCAGTAGCCCCTCACTTCTTCAAAATAAAATAAAATAATTTTTTCATCCTCGAGGTGCCACATTTCAGCTTAAGAACAAAGTAATTTCACACTATCTGGTGGTACAACACCCACCAGCGAGCCCTGTTTGTTTTGTAATACCTGGAAGCACACAGTCGCTAAGCACAGGGGTGGCCAAAGCCTTTCTGCCTTCTTCAGGATTGGCTGGTCCTTCAGTGCTACCCTCTTGGCTACCATATAGACAGTGACTGAAGAATGGAGACAGCGGTTGTTTGCCAGTAGAGAGAGAAATGAGAAGATACCACATGAAGGAAACAGGGTCGACAGCATAAGACCTTTGATTATGGAGTGTAAACTTTTAAACTCCCCTCACTGTAGAATATCTATGAGTACTGCCATGCAGAAAATCAACCTTGAGGTATGAACAGCTACAAAAAAGTGAAATAATTCTAGATCCAGTCCAAGTATATAACTGCACAACTCATAAAATTGTGATTAGTAATGCAGCTTCTAATTGGCCTTTTTTCATAGATATGGATTCATGAACGGATGATTTTGTTACTCGATGAATCAATGAACAGGAATTTGATAAGACCTGCAATAGGGACTAAAAGATTAAATTTCCAGCTTCACTTGGTTCCCACTCCAGACAATTAGCCTTCTGAAAGATGAGGCTTTGCAGGGCACAAAATTCTCAAAGGATATTCAAAACAATTAGATGGAAAATCAGTGCACATTACATCCTAATCAAAAGCAAAATTGTTTTAGTACATAGTCAGTCATATTTCATGTTGTCTTTGATTATCATGAATGCAGTTCTGATTGCCCACATTGTAATGAATTTATCCATTTCGCTAACAGCCTGTGTACTTTGCTTTGGTGTCAGAACTTGATGTATGTTGTTTTCAGGCTGAAAGTCAAAGCATCACCTAATGTATTATATCAGTCCTGGATGACTAAACTTCATTGTTCATCCCGGTTTTTCACTCTATGAATCTTAAAGTAAACGATGTGAAATCGTGCTGAGTTTCCATTAACCACCAACAGATGGACGCAGCACTGATCGATTGTAAGAATCCTTTGTCAGCAAGAACAACTCGATACACCACATTATTGATTCGCTTCTGAAGGAATGTGGATTGAATTAAACACTGAACTCATCAGCTTCCCCTTCCATTCGCGTTAGGCCTTTTAAAGCTCATTTGGAGGTTGAACGTTGTGTTGATTGCTTAAGCAGTTAACCCAGGAACATATGAGTCATTCAGTGAACATTTAGGGGCCTTTAGTATGTAACATAAACTCTAATAGTTAAAGAAAATGTTCTGGTGTTACTGTCTGATATGAGCATTTTTTTTAAATATTTATAGTGATAATGGACTTGATGTTCATTGAACTTGTTTGCAGATGTACAACTGTGTTGTAGGGACAAAATAGTAGCCAGGAATGGAGAAAAGTCCATTTTTTTCAGGTGGGGTTAATACTGCTGTTGAGATGGATGTTAATTATATGTTAATACGATGAATGTATAATGTAGCTCCTATGCATGACTGTCTTTTTTGTGTTTGACATTTTCATGTGTGCAGCGAACTCATGATTATTTTAGAGAAAGATTTAAAATCCTTTGTGTTGAATCTGGCCGCCTGAAGTTCAGTCAAATTACTTTTCTTTGTAAGATCAAGAAAAATACCGAATAGCAAGTGGATTGATTTACTGAAATAATGTAATATTAAGACTCTGGAGGAACGTATAGTGTTAGTGATATTAATTTAATAAATCAAAGCAAAATCAAAGAGCTGCTATTCTTTTTAGGTGTGCTGTGGCGGTCTTATCCACATGACTTAGAGGTGATATTGAACCACAAAAGACGGTCATGAAAACGTATCATGATGCGGAGAATTTTTTCATTTAGGGTTAAAAGTGCGTAAACATTCCTCCCTCTTCTTCTCCATCCACCTCTCTCTGTCCTGCCCCCCGCCCCTTCGCTCTCTCTCAGAGATGGACTCTGTGCGAATTCTGCTCTACACGCTCATCTTCCTCCTGGGCGTCTTCGGAAACCTCCTCATCATCATGGTGCTGATCATGAACAAGCACATGCGCACAGTGACCAACTCCTTCCTGCTGTCGCTGGCGGTCAGCGACCTGATGATGGCGATTTTCTGCATGCCCTTCACGCTCATCCCTAACTTGCTGGAGGACTTCATCTTTGGGGCGGCTATGTGCAAGATCGTCGCTTACCTTATGGGTAAGATGCCCCCCCTGACCAGTACTGGCAGAGTGTTCCACTGGGTGGTTTAGTCCCAGGTGTGGCTGATGCTCTAAGAGATGATTTTATCTGCACCGTGAGACGATTTTATACGGCCCTTGGCAAGTTTTTTTAATCATCATTAATCAATCGATTGAATGTTTTCTGTAGAAAATTAAAATCAATGTAACATCATTCTGCTAATCAGCAGTGGTAAAATATGCCAGCAGAGTGAATTTCAGTACTGCACAACCCCCCCCCCCCCCCCCCCCCCCCCAACCCCAGTTCACAAATTTCCCCGTCATTACCCGTCATAAATATTTTTTCTCTTGCGGCTAAAAAATTCATCTGGAGTGGTCCGCTTATGCTGAAGACCCCCTAGCGAGTGACCCGTGGGTTTTGGAGTGTAAGACCTCTGCTCTCTAAGCCTTATGTCATCCAGGACTCAGTAATATCTAAATACAGACTGATTATGATAAGCTGTTCAAGATAACAGAACGAATCAGCCGGATTCCTGTATTAATGACGACCAAAACATTACCTCCCCACAAACCATGTTCTTTCTCCATTTCTGTTTTTCTTATTTCAACCTCAGTAGCACAGTAGTTAGGAAGTGCAGGAGATGCCTGCAGATTCTTGCCCATCACCTCAGGATTTCTTGGCTGCCTCTTTAGCATTTTACGGTAAACTCTTGTGCTAATTGTTGTTGGGACTCCAAGGACAGAATCCATCATACTGAAGTATCTGAATTTGAATCGATACAAGCAACAAGTGTTTAGAAAAGTTGTGTAGCAGTTTCATGGCCTATAAGCACCGGAAAGCTAATCTGGTATCTCTTTCTTGAACTGAATTGTATTTGACGTCAGCAAATTGCTCCTGGGAATTAACTAGGGAGGAAACACCTGGTACCTCATTTAGATTCCCTCTGTTTTCACCATAGACTCAAGGATCAAGTATCATTTATTATCAGCTTCAGATATAAGATGTGTGAAGTCATGCACTGAGCTGTAGTACCGTCCTTGTTGGTTGTAGTGCAAGTGAGACGTAATACATATACTGTAATATAAATACCAAGGCATATAAACATAATATTGACGTGACATTTTAAGACCTGGACAAGACATTTTAAGACAGTGACAAAGAGATACAGGTCACCACCTGATTCGTAGGGGAAGTGCAAATTGGTATAGAAGTCTGGCATGGAAGCAGACTGCAACAAATAAATAGATAAATAAACAGATAAATAAATAGAGTTTGAAGAAAATATGATGAAGCACAATCGTTTGTGTGCTGTTTAAACAGATGAACTATTTATAGATATATAAATCATACCACTTCCTCGGAACAGAGAATGCAGGGATCCGCACAGTTCCAAAAGGCTCACAATTTTCTCTCAGAAATTTGTTAAACAGTGTGAGATAATCTCAAGTAGAACTTAACAAACAGAATTGTTTTATCATCCTGGAAATACATGGACTCTAATAATTTAAAAGGCTTTTCCTGAGAGAGAACCAACATCACTCTCTTCAGTTTGATCCGAAGGCCCTTTGATCAAAGTTTTACAAAAAAATATTCAGAAATGGATGACAAGTATAGTTTAGCATGTTCGGTGAATGACTCACATAGAAAAAAATACAATGTCAGAGTAGAAAGAAATGTTAAAACAGGCTCATGCATTCTCGAAGCCTGGGCATTTCAGAGCTTATCAGCTTCTTATAATGACTCTTCCAGCTTCCTTGAATTTAAAAATTAAAGGGCATCTATGAGAAGTCTGGAAGAAAGTCATTAAGGAAAGAAAAAAAGGAACAGAATGGACTTCTGATGACTCTCAGAGTCAAGAGGAATGAATGACATGCAGAGGAACATTAATGTGGTCAGAGGCCCCTGGCTTTTTGAGTTGTCAACAGGTGGGGGGTGGGGGGATTTGGTGACAATAAAAGTTGTCAATGCGGAGATTTGAGGGTTGTTTCACGCCCCTGGGCTTTAGCCCGGGTATAAGCCCATGCATTAAAGCACCCCTCCCCCCCAACTACCAGGGAACGTTTCGAGAACTTTAGCTATCATTATGTGAAGATCTTCTCAAAGCTGGAGGGAATGTTTGTACTACAACTATAATGGATTATTATTTCCACGTCACATTTTAACAAAGCTTCTGTCAATGTTTGCATGGTAACATTATTACTTGAATGTCCTTTTAACACGATGTTGAAAAGGGCAGATGCTGCTCGAACCCATGACCTTTAAGGCGCAAGAGTTACCCACTACTCTAACATGCCCTTCTTTTGGGTTTGTGTTATTAGTCTAAGTTGTAGTAGTAGTTATAGTAGCGGGATAACGTTCCGGGAACATCAGAAAAACCGTACACTTTGAATGTTTCCATACCTTAATCATAACGTTCGCTAAACGTTCATAGAACGAAAAATTATTAGCTTGGCCTGTTCACATGTGCTATTTATCCATAGAGGGTCTGGCAGTCAGATGATTCGTTACATTAATGGTTTGTTTTGGGTGAGGAGGGGGATTGTGAGGCAAGGGTTAATTTCTATAGACTGAGTTCTGAGCAGGGGAGTCAATGTCCTCGATGTTGTGGTGGGTGAATCAAACAGCATAACTCATGAAGACTGAAGACGACTTGAAGTTAAACTCTCTTACCACGATTAGTGTTTCAGCTAATTTGCTCAGTTTGCAGTATGAAATATATTTACTGATCGCTGTTCAAATGTATAATTGAATCTCCGGGCCCACAATAAACATTCCTACCAACCATGCAAGGGCAGGAATAATTGGAAAAAATGAGTCCCATTTGAAGGCTCAGAATGAGCCACTCAGTTGTAAGAATGCAATTAGCAGAACAATAATAATGGACAAAAAAAGACAACAGCTGGTTCATGAATGACACACACCCTCTTCACGCTGCTCTCGTTGTTCTGTAAAAATTTGGGATTGCTGTAATTATGGTGAATTTGTTTAATATGCTGCGAGTCATTGGCGCAATTAGTGTTGAACATGCACCTACTGCTCTGTAGAGGTGAGAGCCTGATGGAGTGATGCATGGTTGCTTCGAAGTTTGGTTGGATGCCAGGCATTCCTGAAACCTACAAGCTGAGTCAACACCACTAAATCACTTTAATTTTAATCAAACTCTGTGATGGGTACAGGTTTGTGAGATCCTTAGAGGTGCTGGTAAGGTCAACCACGATGGTACTTTAGTAATATTAATTATTGTAATATTGAGGAAAACAAGGTCACAAATGGACTTAGTAACTATCTTCTTTGGGATAGATCAATCGGTATTGGTTTATAAATGGCTGAACATGGGACAGTTCTTCAGATATCCAGTCTGCAAATGTTTCAACAAAGACGTATTGTTGTACGTTAGATTTTCTTGGGCCATTTCTCTCAGTTCTTACCACCTGCCACATTTGCAGGAATATCAGTGAGCATCTCCACATTCAGCCTAGTCGCCATAGCGATCGAGAGGTACAGCGCCATCTGCAACCCGCTGAAGTCTCGGGCGTGGCAGACCCGCTCGCACGCCTACCGCGTCATCGCAGCGACCTGGATCCTCTCCCTGGTCATTATGGCTCCGTACCCCATCTTCAGTGGCCTGATGACCTTCAGCAAGGCCAACATGACCACAGGACACATGTGTCGTCTGAGTTGGCCGTGGAGTCAGGTGGAGCAGTCATGGTGAGTCTCCAGGCCCATGTGACACAGATGAACCAATGACGCTTCTTAGATTAGACGCACAGAACTTATGTAGCCTTTAAGAACACTGAGCTGATTTGGGAGACCACTCCAGGTTGTTTATGCACCCTGGGAAAAAAGCTTATCACCACTCATAAAAAACAGCATCTGACAAGTGTGCTTACTTCATTAGTCACCTGGCAGAGCCCAGGGAGATGGGCACAGGGAGAAGAATGCCCCAGACAGAGTGGGGTGGGGGTGGTAATGTGGCTTCACATTTGTTTGGTGGTAATTGCAGTGTCCTGCAGGCTGCAGGGAAGTGGGATGTGATTAACAGCCTGCCTTGAACAGACACACAGACAGGGCCCAGATTTACAGGGTCTGGAAGATGTTTCAGTGAGGTTTCAGATCTCTTTCCTTCTCAAAATCTGATCCAACTCCGGATACTCCTTCCCCATAGACTTTATGTAAAGATTTCAGTTACACATATTTGGACAAAGTGATCATAGTTTGTAGAAAGAGTGCAGGGACAGAAAAGCTTGGAAATAGCAACAAATGTTCATATTTAGCTATTTTTCTTCTCCTTTTCTTCGAATGTGAAGACATGGTGGCTTGCAAATTCTCTGGCTGTCAATCAAAATTAGCTATTGCAATAGATAATGGAAAAAGAGAATGTTTAACACTGAGTGTCTTGGTACAATTACGTATAAAGAGATCTTCCGTATCTTCCGTTTCTTCTTCCTATTTTCACTGGTAGCTTTTATTCATTAATGGGTCTGTAGTTTGTCGCTGAAACAGATAATAGAAAAGCCTGTACCTGAGCCCTACTTTTAAACTGCATCCAGACAATCAATTAATAAAAAACGGGACAAGAGGTATTTTAGCAAAACATTTTATGGGCTGTTAAAATGGACTGAAAAAACACAGCAAGTCCTTATTTAGACAGTCAGCAGTTATGTTGTGTTCTGTTGGTCTCACATTTACATAGTAGCCCAAGATCCAGTTAGTCTGATGTTTCACATTTGCTAAAAGTACCATAACCAACTCACGACGTGTTCAACAGAAATAAAACATCAGTGATGGCCCGAACTGGCGTGTTGAAGCCTCAAATGACAGGCAGTCACTTCATAAAGCTTTCCTATGATTGATTTTGGCAGTACTGACAGCCCAATTGAGCGGCTGGATTCTGTTGTCAGGTCTATGCGTTCAGTTGAACACTGACATTCTGTGTCTTCATTTCAGGTACATCTTGCTCCTGTTCATCCTCTTCTTCATCCCCGGAGTGGTGATGATCGTTGCTTATGGACTCATATCCAGAGAACTGTATCGGGGCATACAGTCAGAGCTGGAGCACAAGAAGGAGTTCACTGGTAGGGTTTGCCATAGGGTGGATCTCTATATGCGTATTTGACAGTACCTGTGTTCTCCGGTACCCGTTTCATGTCATCTTCCATTGCCGAAAACTAGTTCCAATACTGAGAACAGAAGTACAGAGGACGGTTACAAATCCCTGGATGTTGGTCTTGCTGCTCCCTAAATATCACGGATACATCGGTTGTATCCTCGCCAGACAAGACTAATCTCATGATTTATTTCACCTCAAGTTTGTTCTTGGAAGGAAAGTTAGCAAGACTGGTTTTGCCAAGACCACAAGTACATTTTTTACGTTCTAAGTATTGGGATTCACCCATTAGTTCTTTAATGTGCCGAGGAAGTGCCTTCATGAATAAGCTATGTCAGTTTCCTTCTTAAGTCTTGCATGCATCCACCCTTGATCTCAGGATAGGATAGTATTCTCTGGGAACCCTCTGGACAGGATGATAGATCCTGATGATCGTTTTCGACCCTCTACTTCAGTGATGAGCGACAACGTCAGGGTGTGGAAAAGAAACACAATCGGTGACATGCAGGAGTCGTGTGATTTGGAGGCCAAGGTGGTGCATGTTGCCTGCAAAGTTCTGCTCTTATTGAGGTGCTAAGAGCCGCGTTCTCTCTGTGAGCTTAGGTGGAGGGGGCGTGTCCGGCAGTGGTGGGTGGGCTCGTGCCGGATGTCCACAGCTCCTCCACGTGCCTTTATCCTTTTTCTATCAGCTGCACCTGGTGGCTTTTGATTTATGATAAATGGCTGTTGAGGCGGAATGAGGTCTCTAAAGAGGACCTCACGCACTAATAGGGTAGCAAGCTGGTGGACTCTCTAAATTCCTCTGAATTATTGAGTTTCCAAATAGCCTCCATTTAGTGAATAACTGGTGTATTTCAGGAGTCTATTTTAGGGAACTCATGCTTGCCGTCATTCCCTTACCGAGAATTGTTGCTATCTGGCTTCTGTCGGACAGGATGAGGACAGCCCGGATTCACAGGAGGTTAATGAGATCTTCTTCCCCGTTTTCTGTCCCCGCAGGCCAGAAGAACGGCCTGAATGTGGTGGTGTCGTCCGGCAGCGACGAAGGCGACGGCTGCTACCTGCAGGTGTCCAAGCGGTCCAGCACCATGGAGATGTCGGCGCTGGCCCCGGCAGCCGGCGGCAGGGTGGAGAGGCCCCGCAGCAACACCTCGGAGGCCCGGCTGACGGCGAAGAAGCGCGTGATCCGCATGCTCATCGTCATCGTGGCCATGTTCTTCGTGTGCTGGATGCCGCTCTACTCGGTGAACACCTGGAAGGCGTTCGACCTACAGTCGGCGCACCGCGCTCTGTCGGGGGCGCCCATCTCCTTCATCCACCTTCTGTCCTACACGTCGGCCTGCGTCAACCCCGTCATCTACTGCTTCATGAACAAACGCTTCCGCAAGGCCCTACTGGCCACCTTCGCCACCTGCTGCCGCCCATGCCGTCGCAGGGGCCGGCCCGTACCGCCCGACGATGACATCACCGCCATCGGCACCTCGCTCTCCAAATTCAGCTATACCACTGTCAGCACCGTGGGGCCGCCCTGATGGGTAGACGCCTCACATGAAAGTGGGAGCCGTACAGCAGCGACGGCACCTTATTATTTATTTATCTATTTATTTATTTATTCATCTCCCACACACTCACTCTTTCACTGACCAACAAACACAGGCAGTTCATGATTACACTCCCATGTACTTGATTTTGTTTTGCTTGGTTGGGGCGTCCCTAAGGAATGTGGTAGCTATAGCCTGCGCCTGGGGCTGAGGTAAGCAAATCGCCGTGGTGACTAATGAGCGGGGACACCCCTCTGTCTTCCTGACACCGCTTTGATTATTGACTTTGTCATCACGTGGTAGAAGGTATCAAGCAGGTGGCTGGGGAACTACAGCAGGGCAGACGTGTGACTTACATACGATGTTCTTATCACAGAGGAAAATTGCTTGATAGGTTTCATCAGTGGGCTACATAAATTCCACCAGGGGAAAAGTCAACACCGGCACTAACCCAGAGTGCCAGGGGTTTGCTTTGTGTGCATCATAAGATGTAAGAGCTATGGAAGAAACCTCATATGGCTATGGGTGATGGTTCTGGGTCACACCACTGGGTCAAGTTTTGTGGTGACCTAGAACCATCGCCTATTGGTTTCTTCCATAGCTGTGGTTCTTACCCCGTGTTCAGTTATATTGGCGTGAGGGCCCCTTTTGTGTGATTGCTCTGTAGATCCATCCATTAATCCATCCATTCTAACCGTTTATCTTGGTCAGGGTCACTGGGAAGACCCAGGCTGGCCATGGGTACTCTCTAAAACTCCATCATGAGGTAACACGTATAGACATCATTACCACTGCTCTGCTTTTACAGCCGGATACCCTAAAATATGCCAAAATAATGGCCCCTTAAGTGTACATTAAGGCATTTTTTTGGGCTAACGAGTTTCACAGTTTGGAGGGAAGACAGTGGACCAAAACGAAAAGGGAGCAGCCAGGGAACAGAGGCTGTTGATTGGCTTAGAGAGGGATGATAGAGACGGGGCTTTTGAGATGAGGCTTGTTCTGCGAGATGGGTCTGTCTGCGGTGGCGGAAGATGTAGGGGCATAGCCTGTGGCAGGAGGCGTGTCTTATAAATCATGTCAATAATATAAGTTGAACCAATTACATATTTATGTAGCTTATTTATTAACCTATCTAATCTACATATTTTTTCTGTTACGTTTGATTCTATTAGATACATTCTAACTGGTTAAAGCCAAATACATTTATCATTACATTTTTTCCCAGTTAATGTATTGATTGAGAGTGCAGACTTCCCAATTTGTAGTGTGACATTACTATAAAGTGGGCGTGCCTTGTTGTAGGCCTTACTTCTGTTGACAGTACTGTCCTGTGGGCGTGTCTTGTAGTGTGACATTACTATAAAGTGGGTGTGCCTTGTTGTAGGCCTTACTTGTGTTGACAGTACTGTCCTGTGGGCATGTCTTGTAGTGTGACATCACTATAAAGTGGGCGTGCCTTGTTGTAGGCCTTACTTGTGTTGACAGTACTGTCGTGTGGGCGTGTCTTGTAGTGTGACATCACTATAAAGTGGGCGTGCCGCCTTGTTGTAGGCCTTACTTGTGTTGACAGTACTGTCGTGTGGGCGTGTCTTGTAGTGTGACATCACTATAAAGTGGGCGTGGCTTGTAGGCGTTACTTGTGCTGGGTGTTTCTAGTCTTTTGGGCTGCAGCTGGACATCATTGGGGTTCTGCTGCCAGTTTGTTACAGTATTTGAAGAGTCGCCCAAGTGTTGCCTCATTTTGCCTGATGTAATATGAGGCACAGAGCCTCCGTAGCTTCATGCCTCCTATTACTGGATCTTCTGGTTCTGGAGCATCAGTGTACAGTGGATTCAGATTTATTACATAAGACCCGCAGAGACTGAATAAATTATCGATAGATTTATGACATATGATGCTCACTGCAAGTGCCATGATGGCTCAGAGGGTAGTACACCAGCAGCACTGGGGATTAGGGTCCCACCTCTGGCGAGTGTGTGGAATTCGCAAGATCTCTATATGCTGTGTGAGTTTCCTCACATAGTCCATGGATAATCGGTGTCTCTAAATTGACTGTAGTGTATGTTGCTGCATGCATGTGCCCTGTGATGGACTGGCATCCCATCCAGGGTGTCCCCTGCCCCGTGCCCTGTGATGGACTTGGCATCCCATCCAGGGTGTCCCCCCAGCCTTGTCTCGTATCCTGCCTAGAACAGCCTCCAGGTCCCCCTGCAACCCTGACCAGAATATGCAATTTGAAGATGGATGGACAATCACAGCATTTTATCTGAAGGAAACAGCACATCGGAGCAGGCTTTTCATCACGAAGAGAGCCAAACTATTCTCTGAAATGTGCTCAAATTTTTCATAGCATCACTTACCAGAAAGTTCCTTAATAGACGGCCACATGCTCAGTGGTGCCCATGGACAGATGGTGAAGGATGCTACCATGACGTCGCTCCTTATGTGTCACTTCTAGGAAACATCTGTTGTCCGTTTCATCTTTTAATTCATGGTATAATGTCAGAGTGACCGCAGTGCTTTTTAACTGTAAACTACATGCAGACTGGCAGCGCATCGTGGCGTGTGAGACTATCACCTGTGACTCACCAGCCATGGTCTCCATTCATGAAGATTCTTCCTTACGCTTTGGGTGAGTTTATATGATGTACAAAGCCCGGATTCCTACATGCCTGCAGCCTGTTTTTCATGACAGTCTTGCTCCTCACTGCAGATTTATGTGTCTTGGATTCAGAGGCCATATAACAGCCTCCAAGGTGTTTGGATAATCATCAGCAAAGACTTAATGTCGCCAATGAAGTCTGTGCTCCCAGTGAACTGGCTATCTGTCAGCTCCAGCATATAAAACCGCATTTTCCCCTAGAAATACGTGTCGCGTCACCTTTCAGAGTATATTTCAGAGCAAGGTCTGACGGTGACACACATACCTGTACAGACAGTCACTGTGTGGTCTCAGTCTCATTTTGAAAACCCAGTAATGTTGGTGAGTTTTCAAGTAAGGCAGATGTGCCCCTAAAGACCTCAGAATGTCTTATTCCTAGTGAAATGCGCAGTCTGTGCTGCTTTATTTTAAGCAATTTCCAAAAGTCTGTTAACCTCAGAACAGAACAGGCAGATCTTTGTTACATTACTTCAAATCAATGGTCAGTCTCATTAATCTCTAATGTTTGTTCTTGTGCTGGTGTTTGGTTGGGGATTCAGGCAGTCACATATATTATTTATTCATACTTAATGTTATTATATCTAAGAAGAAAGTAAATCAATGATCATTAAAGTAAAAAGATTACAGAAAGCTGTTTTACAGTCATTGCTCTCTTCCCAGTCCCCCATAAATGCATCACTTTTAGCAACAGCAAAATAAGCACTGAATCTGGCAGAAGCTTTGAAATTTACCAATTCTATCTGTGGATGTTTCTGTGGCAGCTAATGGTGATCATTTGCTAACTCACAATGGTTTGTGTCGCCTGTGAGTGGAAACATGGCATGACTGGACTGCGAGAGGAAGGTATCCGAGGACTTTGAGTTACCGAGGTACCAGGCTGGCCTGAGATGATCTCCCAGCCTCCATGGTCTGAACTGACTTATCTGACACTTTTATCTAAAGCGGTTTACAGTATTCAGACCCATGTTGGTCGCACAATGCTGCATGTGTTCGGATACAGCAGATGCCAGGAGGTTGTTTTGGGGGGAATCTCCTCTCTGTCAGTTTGGAGGGGGGGGTCAGACATGATTGCCACTGCTGCTTGTGCCTCCATATCTGATATTCTTTCATGTTAGTACCGCAGTCCTTTGTTAGATCTGTTATCTCTTCCCTGTGCCTTGTCGTTTATAGATCATTTGTGGTTTTGTGCTTTTGATGTTGGTTATTGTGTGTACCGTAATGTTATACCTACTCTTATTACACCCCCTGGTTCAATGATATTTGTCAAGCTACCAGAAACACGAGACGCGCTGAATTACCCGGCCTCCCCACCCCCGCAGTAAAATAATGGTCCAGGCTGGTTCAACATACGTGTGTCGTGTCTTGCGATGTAAGCTGGGGGGTATTTCTTTATATAATAACATTTGTATGTTACACTGAAGTAAACTGCCGTGTCAAATCATCTGTGTATTCACAGTACCTATATGTGTGTGACAGACGGAAAGAGACACAGAGGAGTGGAATATAATACAGGCATGCGGTTTGCCAAAAAGCCGTATAAAAGTAGGATCATTTATGTACACAGTGTCTCTGTTAGAAGGAAAGTGTATAATTTTGTCTTCTGTAATATGTACTGTCAGCGGTTATTACCAAAAACATACCTGAACAGTGTAAACAACTGAAGAAGCTGACCTGTTATTCGCTACACTGCCTTGTCCGCTGTTGTAGGATCAGAATTTAATAAATATTTCTGTCTCTCATGTAGCTTTTCATTTTTTTTCCGAAATCAAGAATGATCTTTCCTTTTCCTAAACATGGCCATGAAGCGTATCTTTAATGGTTTCGATTTGGATGCTCTTTGGTTTCCGTGATGGACTGACGTCCAATTCAGCCTTGTGCTGCCTGGGATTGACTGGGATAGGGAAAGGATAAGTGGTTATAAGGTGGATGGATGGATGGATTTATGTGTTCTGGGTCAGAAAGTGTACATAACAAGCCCAAAATACCATTTATCATTGCTATGGAATATATTCTGCTATAGTAATTGTATAATAAGGAGCCCTGAAGGAGTCACAAAGTTTTTCATTAATTTTATACATACAAACACTAAGCTGTGCTCACAATTTAGATTAATGTGGCCAAAAAACAACAAATTGAGCTCACAGAATCCCTAAAATGTGCACACAATCATTTTTTTTTTTATGATCTCAGTTTGCTATCTCAGGCCCTCGAATTGATTAAGTTGTCCTCATGTTTTAGTCATTCGTGCCGGCAAACCCAGAAGCTGGAGCCTTGGGACTAAGGTCAAGCCAACCACTGGCATCCCAGGGTGCAAATACTATGGCATTACAGTAGCAAATATCTTGGTTCAAATCTTTGTGGTACGCCATAATACACAGATCAGCCATAACATTAAAACCGCCTGCCTAACTTTGATTAGCAGCAGATCCTTTATGTCCTGTAAGTTGAGAGGGAGCTTCCATGGACTTGTTTCTCTTGCACATCCCACAGATGCTTGATTGCATTGAAATCTCGGGAATCTGGGAGGCAAGTCAACACCTTGAACTCTTTTTTGTTCCTCAGACCATTCTTGGACATTTTTTGCAGTGAGGCAGGGTGCATTATCCTGCTGAAAGAGGCCACTAATATCGGGGAATACTGTTGCCATGAAGCTGGCAACCTCGTCTACATCAGTGCTTAGGTAATAACATCCATATGAATGCCTGGACTTAAGGATCTCCAGCAGAACATTACCCAGAGCATCACACAGACTCCGCCGGCTTGCCTTCTTCCTATAGTGCATCCTGGTGCCATCTCTTCCACGGGTAAATGAAGCAGAAAACGTGACTCATCAGACCAGGCCACCTTCTTCCATTGCTTCATGGTCCAGTCCTGACACCCACGTGCCCATTGTAGGTGCTTTCGGTGGTGGACAGGAGTCAGCATGGGTCCTCTGACTGGTCTGCGGCTACCCAGCCCCATACACAGCGAGCTGCGATGCACTGTGTCCTCTGACACCATTCTGTCATAACCAGATTAACTTTTTCAGCAATTTGTGTTACAGTAGCTCTCCTGTGGGATCGGACCAGACAGGGTAATTTTCACACCCCCAGTGCATCAATGAGCCTTGGCCACCCATGACCCCATCGCCGGTTCACTGGTTAGCTTTCCTGGGCTGTTCTTGGTAGGTACTGACCAGTGCATACTGGGAACACCCCACAAGACCTGCTGTTTTGGAGATGGTCTAACCCAGTCGTCTGGCCATCACAATTTGGCCCTCGTCAAAGTCGCTCAGATCCTTACACATTTTTTCTGCTTCCAAAGCATCAGCTTCCAGAGTTGACTGCTCACTTGCCTTAATTTATCCAGGCACCCTGACAGCTGCCATTGTAATGAGAAAATCAATGTTATTCACGTCGCCTGTCAGTGGTTCTAATATTAGGGCTGATCGGTGCTTAACAAGATATACAACAAGATAAACAGGGAAGCCCTGGTTTAGTATTTATTATTTTTTTTAACAGTTAGTCTGCTTGTATATTTATTTCTGTTGACTCAAAAGATTTACCTGATTCTAATTCTGTATTAGTCAATAACTTCCATAATAATATAGCAATAATAATAATGACTAATAACGATTAAATAATAAATAATAATGACTCCAGTCCCAGTAATGAGGTTAGAGAATACAGACCACGTTCACGGTAGTCTGTTATATTTAATTCCAAAACTATTTTTTTTTTCTTTTTCATTTTTAATTAATGCTCTGAGGTTTGGACAATTCCTCACTTCTCTCCATGAAGTCGAGAGAAGAATTGACTTGCAAATGCCACAGCGAGTGGTTTAGCTACATCTTACATTTAATGGTACAACGCGCCAACACACCAGCTATATCAGAAAACTGTCAATATCATTCCATCCATCCATCTTCCAGCTGCGGCAGTGGACACCCAGCAGGGACACCCTGTACTGTTATTGTCAATATGACTGAAATTCATAGTGATTTTCTGTTTTCTGCTCTACATATATAAGTAAACAAATAAATGTAAGTAAACGAAGAAATGAGCTATGAGTCATCTAAAAAGCCCTGGTACGTGAGACACATAGAGCAGCACAGGAGATTGTGAAATATACTTTCACCCTTTCTTTAAAGACTATAGACTTCACCATAAACGGTGCCAAAGTTTCCTGTCACTCGAACACAGAGCCACTAATCATTCTGCAGCAGCATTTCCTCTCTTGACTGGGGTTACCAAGAAGGAGGGATATATCTTGGAAAAAGATGTGTGTTCATGTGTGATATTCACTTTGCCGAGCTCAGAATTTACAGTAAATAATTCATATTCTGTGAAAGAGTTCCTTTGGCTTGGCTGGTAAGCCTTCCCCAGAGGAGGCCTGATCTGCAATGGCTGGTGTTGTTTCCATACCCAGATGTCAGAAGTACCACACATCTACCATGTTTTCGGTTGGCTTCCACATAAAAATGGTGGCTGTTCTAGGTTGATGGAGGGTCCACAGCCTTTTGCCGTGAGAATGACTAACTGATGACATTTGACACATGGGTTATGGCTGAGAGCTGCATCACAGCAGGACTGGGGCTTCAGCTTGCTATTCCAGAACCTTCTGTGGTACTTCGATAATCCAGCCTTTACACATGTTCACCATCCGCTACATCTCCCAGATGAATGTCCCCTCCCCCACCCACCCAAAATGGCTCCGCAGCCACCGTTTCCATCACTTACAGACACGCGGACGTGGTGCTCATTCTGAATGATGTGCAGACAGCGTGGTGCCTAGTTTTAGAGAACGTTCCAGAAGGCAGAATGGGAATGACAGGCAGCGTGCGGAAAAACAAAAGCTATCAACTATCCGTAACAACAGTACAGTAATTCCAGTAATTTAATGTATTTGTAAATTTCCTGTCAGGACTACTTTGCGTAACGGAAATGCGAAAGTAAAACATAAGGATATAAGAATCTCTCAATTCACACTCGTTTAAATAACAGCCAACAGAAAAGGCTGAGGGATTCTGACTGATATTTGTCCAATGAATATGAATTCGCTTTACATTAGCCCTTTGGGGCAAACCTACTAAAACTACTACTACTATTATTATTATTATTATTATTATTATTATTATTATTATCGTCATCATCGTCAGCAGGGGAGAAAGGGGGGCTGAGTCTTTACTTGGGGGGGTTGATGGTAAACTATTTATGACTTAAGCCAATTATTTGACACGCACATTTATTTGTGAGGAGGAGCTAAAAACCACTGACTATAAAAGAGGGCTGGCTTAAGCCCCCCTAAAATAGACCTACCAATGTCCCTGATCATCATCAGCATCAAAATCACCAATAATACCCAGTACCAAACTAAGAGGGAAAGAAACAGTGTCTATACACTGAATTAAAAAAAAAAACATTTAAAAAGCCCCCCTCCCCCACCTTCTTGTTAGGGTGGGGTTATTGCGGTGATCCCCTGGTAAATTCACAGAAGATTGCCTGTGCACAAGCACTTTAATGAAATATCCACTCAGTGACTGAAAGTATTCATTTGCATGAAGGCTGCTTGACATATTTTCAGGACTACAACCCAGACTGCAAACTACTTCAAAATGGTCCAGAAAAAAAGATATTTTTTTTAGGTATTTGTCGGTTTAATTGCTACGGGAAAGGAAAACAAGGTAATGGCAAAGATGCAAACCTACAGGAGTCCATCACTCTCTGATGAGGCAGTTTCCAGGCAACAGTCACACAGTAATCTACCTCAAAACCTTTGCATGCTGTTGCAATCCTCCTATCGAATAAGGAGTCAGTGCTAAAAAAACAAACGGCTTAATTTATTCCAGAGTATCAGCACAATGAATGTGAGGTCAATGTGTGAATATGCTGTGGAGATTCCTGGCAAAGGTCATGAAGTTCAAATATAAATCAGCCTTCAAAATGCAGAGCAATCAGGAGAAGCTACAGCAATGTTTCCCATCCCAGTCCTCGGGGACCCCAGACAGTTCATATTTTTGGTTTCTCCCAGCTTCCAATGCACCCATACCAAGTATTTGGAATTCTTGATTGGTTGGAAACTGGGAGGGAGCAAAAATGTGGGGGTTTCCGAGGACTGGGTTAGGAAACCCTTTCCCAAAGGAATGAGGAGGCTCTCTTGTGTCCAAAGGTCAGTTGATCTATTTTTAAGATAATTTATGAACTATGATATTAACAAAAGCGGTTGAATGCCTGACTAGCACTCATAGGTATCGTTGAAAAGAATTTGCCTTTGACAGTAAATAAATACAAAGTCTATCAGCGTGCAGGATTAAGAGGCTTGAAAGGCAGAGGATTTACCTAACAAATGATTGGCTGCTAATTAGACAGAAGCGTCGCACATGGAACAGGACCAGCTACAAAATGGTGTGAGACAACATGGTTTTCACACCACGACTGGCATCTTATCCACAAAATGAGAAAAATTACAGACAACGAAGCAAAAAAACAGGAGGTCATCTTGAAAGAAATTTCACAGAACAATGGGGAAAACACTTAGTAAAGATGCTGATGAAAATGAACGACCCGTCATGAAGTGCAGCCTTTGTGAATATAAAAATATTACAATGATAAATATTCATGTGAAAGAACAAATAAAACATGAGTAACTTAAACTACTTCAGTGACTCCTGGCAGAATAATCTGACAACTCAATGAATAACAATATAAGGATAACTTTCCTCTTAATTGCCACTGTGTCTAAGTCGTTTATTTAAGCATGCTTTT